TAAGGGAGAGGCCAGCCACCCTTCGGAGGAAGCTTACGAAACAACCTTCCCGTTAAAATTTGTTAGTCTCAAACTCTGAAAAACATAATTATCTAATTAAATGATCTAATTAATTTAAGATAGTCTGATATCCTGTAAGTGGTGTACAGCAAAACAAGAGCACCAAATAGGACCTAAACTGACCGCCAGACTTTTATTTATTATAATTAATTCATTAATAAAACACAAAAGTTTAGGCTATTGTTTTTAATAACTTTTTATCTGCTCCCCCAACACTGCTGATACTTGTGACTAACAAAATGGGGTAAACGTCCAGGCCGTCTGGATTTTTGTTGATTTGCTGAAGTCTTGACATGAACCAGATTGTATGTGAGGACCTGATGAACACACAACAGAATAATCCAGGAAATATATGTCTAGTTTTCTAAACCGGACCTTAATATCATCCAAATCTGCCGTGTAGATGCTGTCTAAATGCATCATTCCAGAAATAGTCTTGCTTTTTGGAAAATCAAGGCAGTAGCTCTGCTGTAGTTCAGTATTTATTGTTTTAAGGTGAGTAGACTGTGAATAAATGTGTTACCTCCTTAAACAGAGCCGACTGAAGACTTTTCATGGCTCTGGGTTTAAATGTCAGACATGCTGCTGATGCCTTTTAACCATTTTGCTTCACAGTTGACCTCCAAGCAGCGTGTGTGGTTGGTTTCTGTCACGATTACCTCGGCTTTGACCTCCCGTTTACCTTTGATTTGCAGAGGATGAAGCAGCACTCAGTGAAAATGGGGTGAACTCTGTGTCTGAGCTCTCTCAGCCAGACAGCAGCCACTGTGATGACGAGGCACAGCCCGGTACGCCCGCCTGCTTCTGACATGAAGCCCGAGCTGCAGCTTAACCCGTGTTTTAGCTCTTATTTAGCATGGTTCAGTTTGTGTGCAAATCATCACTTGATTTATCTTCTTCATTTAGAGCTCTGTTGAGAGAAACGCTCGTCTTGGTTTGCTGGTTTTCTTTTGCTCCCTAACTCAACCTTTTAAGATTCAAGTTTGAGTTTTCTTGCTAAAACCTTTTGATTTGCCTGATTCTACAGCGAGTTGTGTTGTTACCACACAGAGTGCAATAAGAGCCAGCGAACATGATCAGTGACTAACATGGAAAACAATGCCCCTCTGTGCCTGTAAGACGTGGCCACAGTAGCGTCACTCCAGCCCGGGTCGAGCAGGCTTTGATCATAAATACTGAGACTGACAGCTTTTCCAAAGCGAAGCGAGGTGGGAAGTCATCGGGCTGAAAAACCTCCTTGATCTCTTTAACAGCTTCTGAAGCTGCTGACGTGTGGTAGTAAACACAACATTAGCCTGAGCTGTGTGAACCTGATGAAGTGTCAGATTAGACTTTAACAATTCCTGTTAATGTTTGACTGAGATCCATTTATCCAACAGCAGAGGCGCCTGCAGAGAAAGCAGGAGCCGAAGAT